TGTTGCCCTTCCTATACATGAAAAGATGTATTTTATATGTTTAGGTGTTATATATGTAAATTTATAAGAATTGTGTGAAATGTATGTAAACACCCCTTAAAAAGAACTTTTCTAAATTGGCCTCAATAAATCATCATTACCAACAAAAAGTTACTTTAGAGGTAAAATAATTATAAGCATCCTTCCTAACCTTGTGAATTAACATTTGAAACAAAATTAATAATATGATTATGCAACTCAAAAATATTAAACAACACTTCCTAAAAGATATTATATTTCAATGCCTCCACAAAATTACAACTTTCATAAATCAGTTTGTTCAATGCTTGTACAAATATTATCGACAACAAGCCTTATTCTAGAAGCATCAATTGCTTGTATTACATGTGCACTTCAAAAGAACAACCTCTCAAGGAAAACTACAAGCATTAAGAATAGCTTCAATTTGAACCAACATCAAAATTCTAGGCTTGGTTGATCCTCAACAAATGCTACAAAGAATCTTAAATTTTACAAGGTCCATATTAGCTAATGTTTGATAAACTTCATCAGCTCACTTAAAGCAGTCACAACTATCTTTTGTTTTATTACAGGGACATCTGCAAATCTTTTTATAACTGATATTGTAGATTATAACGACAGTAAATATGATGGTTTTGGTTGCTCGTTGATCCCGTTGGCCGGATCTAACTCATTTTTCACAATCATGAATGATAAATGAAAATTTCACTTTAACAAAAAAAAAAAGTTAAACAAACTAAGAAATAATTAGTCTTGTTCATTGTAGTAATCAATTAAAAGAGAAAATGAAAAGGAAGTACGAATTCAAATACTAAAGGAACTGAATCAATAATAATGTTTGGCCATTTTTTCTTCTTTGCTAGGCTTTAAAGAAATAACAAACAAACTGAAAAATGAAAGCAACATAATATTATACATACTTTAATTTTGATAAAAGAATGATAAGATAAATATGTTTAGGTCATACTTTTCTTTGTAAATCAAATTTTTTAACTCTGACTCTCCTAAGTCGTATAATAAAGGTGCAAGTACTTGTCCACTACATTGCACATTCTATAACATCAACAACACAAAAAATTTACATTCCGTAAATCCTAGATCTACCTAAAACCCTTGGTAGTGGCAACCATGGTTTCATGAGAACTTTCAGACCATCCAAACATACAACATCATTGTCATAGAGGGTTTTGTATGTAAATCCCTCTTTTTTACTTTGGAAAATTGATCCCACAAAGACATAATGATGCACTTATGACACCTAATGATAAATCATAGAGGAGAAAGTAAAGAACAAGTTTACACAAACTATTTTTCATACATTAAGGAGCTGTTTGGAAGTAGTGTCTGGGCATGATTAAGATAATTTTTAACCTAAATTATGGAAACAATAAAGTTCTAGAGAAATTCAAATCCCAAATTTTTTTTCCTCCTTGCCTTAATTTTTCGGGTTTAGTAAATATAGTTGGAATAAGGATTGCATGATTTAAAGGAGCTAAACTGCACGAAGGACGGTGGGAGGAAGGAGGAGAAAGACGGGAGTTGTAGCGGTCATTGTAAGTATGAAATCAAAAAAGAGAGGGAAGGCTGAAAGGGGCAGTATTCAACATAAAATCTCACAAAACAGTCAGGGGAATTAAGTTATTAGAATTTAGTAAATCCGGTAAATCCGAATTTCTAAATCTTGAATGAGTTAAATTGTAAAAACTACATGACAATGAAATCCCGTTGTTCTGCCTACATCTAGTTAAATCCCAATAACTCTATCACGTAAGTCCCGTAAATCCACGGATTCGTGGGATTTAATAAATTCGGGATTTACGGCCGAAATCCTTGAAATCCGAATTTATCAAATATGTGTTGATGAATCGGGTGGTGTACATATAGATTTTGGGTGCCCTAAAAATATTTGAAACAATTTCAAGGTCAATATCTTATAGTTTCACAATAATATTCACATATAACACCGGCGGCGCGAGCACAGCGGATTCGTCGGCGAGACTTGACCACCATCAAGAGCAAAATCCCTGATCTAGAACGAAACAGAAAAGAAATTAGCTGAATCTGTTTCAAGCGAAGGGCCGAGCTTCAGGGGAGGTAGCTTGATTCCAAAGTATTGAGTTCAGTTTCATTTTAAAGTCGTTGAATTTGCCTCTAGGAATCCGGTTTGGAGATGGGAGGAGTCGTTCTAGGGATGCCTGGTCCTTGGGCTGAAAATTTCCTTGAAAAATCTGATCACTACACTACGAAGATTGGAGGATTGCCTGTAAGAGAGAAATCTAACTCTTTGTTTTTAATCATCTGCAAAATCTGATTACCAATGTTTTGCATTGCGGTTCTGTATCTCGCAGGACTGGCCATTCCCCGAAATGTTTCTCAGGCCTGATCTGATAAAATGCGTTTTGTGCGGTGAAAGGCTCTGCCTTCTTGCACAGGTGAGTGGTTGCTAGGTCTTCTTTGCTGAGCTTAGTAATTCTGATTGCTGCACTTTGTTTTTTTTGGTGTTTTTGTTCTGTAAAATTTCAGGTATATGCTCCTATTAAATTGCCAAAATTGAATGTTGACGAAAGAGTCATCTATGTCTTTGGCTGTTTGACGAAAAAATGCGGGAGTAGCCCTAAATGGTTTGTTCTAAAGAAGCGATATCGTTTACTGTATTTTTTTCATTTGTATAATTTATTATTTCATGGTTTTAATCAAAGTTTGCAGCTGGCGAGCACTTCGCATGCGAAAGTGCAATAGCGAGAAGACTCTCAATGGCATCTGTGAAGATTCCAAACCTTCTGCAAACTGCAATGGGGATGAGAAAAACATGGTTAGGGGTAACGATGGAAGTGTTGAGAAGAACTTGGTGAGTGGCGATGAAGAAAGTGTTGAGGAGGAATATGATGATTTATACTTTGATGAATTGGCTCGGGAACTTTCTGAAGCTTGCTCACAAGCTTCTCGGTCCAAGAAACCAAATGGCTCCTTGATTTTAGGATCTAATAAGACGAGTATGAGATCTGAGTCAACACTAAATGGCATAAACTCAAGCATACCAGGTGTGATAGGACTTTTTTGATAGTTTAGATATGAGAGAGAAAGTAATTTGTTTGTGTTTCATCTTGGTTGCAGTGGTTCCTTGCTTTTATATATATACTCAGGAAGATCGATCCGTTGGTGAAGTTGCTGCTGTTTGTGCCAATTATGCCAAACTTTCTGTTAAACAAGAAGATGATTCTAATAATGATAAAGATGATGAAGTTTGGGAAGGAGAGGGATATGAATATGATAAGGCTTTGGGTGCTGATAGAACTTTTTTGAAGTTCAAGAAACGGATGGATGCATATCCGGAGCAATGTTTTAGGTGCTTTTATATCTGCCATTTGCCCGCTTTTAACATTTCATGCTCACTCCATTGTAAATCTGCAATGTCTAATGAATTTAGTTTTTATACTCTTCTTCTGCTGGAAAATCTGCAAAACTTGAATATAGGAAGATACTTTTGCATGGTATTGGATTAATGTTAATATTGTTCTGGGATATAGTATACTTAAGTTTTTGCTGTTGTTGTTGGTGATACTTGTGTTAGGCATGAATAGCTTATCCAATGAGTTAGGAGAGAACATGAGAACGTTGACTTCCACCATAAATTGGTACTAATATTTGCATCACTTGAATAATTTATTGTCCAACTAGCTGAAAAGTTTGAAGAAATTTAAAATTTAATGGAACAGATAGAAAATTATTGGTTCCATGCCTCAAAAACTATTTATATGCATTAAATCTATTAGTCAAACTGTCAAAGTTGATAACTTCTAAAATTTCTGTAGACATAACATTGGCAACTTGCAAGAAGGCTCATATGATAAACTTGCAAGAAGTTCTGCATGGGTCTACTGAGTAGATAAGCGTGGAATAGTAACAAAGAATAAATAAATGCAAATAATGTTAAAATTGTGCAATTGGTTATCAAGACATTTTTGTCAATTAGGCTAGGGCGTAAGCTCTGAGAAGTTCTGGGACGTAAGCATCACAATTATAAATTCACATAGAGGCAAAATAAATGTAAAATTTAATATATTAACGTCCTAACATAGAATAGTTGCAAATTATGCCGATAACAAATAACAAATTGTATAAGCCGTGAAGTAACATGTAATAAATTGCATAAAATACAAGTGTAATGTAGATTGTAAACATAAATTAATCGAACTAACTTAATTTATGAACTGAAAGTAATATAAAATATAAAAGCAATGCATGACATAAGATAAAATTAGCATAATAAATTTCTCTTATACCTATTGTCCAACATAAAAATATTTATAGATCCAAATAAACATATAATAAATAATTAAAAGCTCTCATGTAGTCATGTCTCTCATCTCTTAGGGGTATTCATGTGAGTAATAATGATACAGGCATAGATCTCCCACACTTAGCGGGAGGGACCTGTCTCTGGCTTGGTTTGGTTGAAAACTCGAGAGACGGAAGACTCTTTTTTTCATTGGATTTGCTGCCTTTATGTCAAGACAGCTGCAGACGTCTAGGTTTCCATGTTCTAGGGCTGTATCTGAAGGCGAGAAGGTATTCTGCCTGAACTCATCCGAGGTGATAACCTTCTCCATGGATTTGAGTGGTGCTTTGACTGTAGCTCGATTCCGCGTGGATATTTATCCTCACTTCGCTCTCCTTCGGGACTTTCCCATCTTTCGCAACCCTCCTCTCACTGCGCAGCCTCCTGCCTCGTCTTATTTCTGCAAAACAGTAGTTAGCTGTTTTCTACAGTCACCCCTAACCTTCCAGCCTCCCCACAATCCCTTCCCTCTACCCTGCCATACTCTTCCACGTCAGCAGCCTTCTCAAGGCACCCTGTCCCAGCTTGCTGCCACACTCTAGACCACTCTCTCCCTTCCACCAGCTTTTCGTTTCTCCATGCCATGACCTTCAACCAGTCCTTCCCTGAATTTCACCCACTCCTCCTTCACCCTGTGCTACTGCTCACTCACAGCCAGCCTTCCTCCAACCAATCCTTCCCCTTCCTTTTCGTAACTTCCACCAGCCCTTCCACCAACTCATCCATCAAACCTGTCAACTGCCCCATCCAGCTACCAAACCTTCTTCTGTTCCCTTAATTGCACTCATCCCTTCTTTTTTGCTACCCAACCACCTTCACCCTAGCTCTAGTTTGGGTCTATGTGTTGTCTGTTTTGTTGTTATTTTCTTGTCATATGTGTTTGTTGTAACCCTATTTAATTTCAGTAATAAAATTTATAATTCCATTATTGTTTGGGTTCTCCAGTATCACATAATCAAAATGAATAGCTTTCTCCCCCACTTCTTCAATTTAGTCCAAGCTTTTTGATTATTCATCCTCCTCTTCTATCTCAATCATCTTTTTCTTCTATAATCAGTAGTCAATAAGAAATCCATAATATTAATTCAATTTTAAAAGAACTTCAAATATTAAATTTTTTATGGATACCTTTTCTTTTTATCCATTGTTGCCTTATGATTGATTTACTAGTTTTGTTCTTGTATTCATTAAAGAAATCAACATTCAGACATTTTTATTGTAACTTAGATGGCGTGACCTTATTGTCATCATCTACAAAATCACTTTTCGTCTGATGATTTATCTTCATATAATGGAAGACTCTCATCATTCTTTAAACTCTTGTTTTTTAGATTTCTATCATTCAGTCTTTTATTGTAACCTCTTCTTCAATCTCAATCTTCTCTAATCAGTAATGATCAATAAAAATCCATATTAGTTGTAGTATAAAACAACTTCAAACACTAAAATTTTTATGGATACCTTTTCTTTTTATCGATTTTTGCCTTATGATTGTTTTACTAGCTTTGTTCTTGCTTAATTAAAGAAATCAACATTCATAACTTATTATTGTAACTTAGATGGCGTGACCTCATTGTCATCATCTATAAAATTACTTATCATCTAATGACAATATCTTCATATAATAGAAGATCCCCATCTTCCTTTAATCTATTTTTATAGATTTCTTTCATGAAGTTTTTCATTGTACATGATGTGCACCAATGAATTCATTCTTAAGATCATCAGAGAGTTTTTTCTTCTTTTATGAACTTGAGTATACATGTTTAAGTTGTGCTCACATCCAGCTGATGAATGTGTAAGTCTCAAACTTTTAACAACAAAATGCTATAACTTTGGAGTGCCATCATCAAATTAGATTTGCCATTCAACTAAATAGATTTAACTCCAATAGACCATAACTCAATAATAATGGATGTAGAATGAGGATTCAGGAAGTCAACCTTAAATCATTCGTATAAGGCTATATGATGATGGTGTTGGGGAATATTAATTTATTTTTTGAATCAATTGGAATACAGGGTTTATTAAAATGGAACAGACCAGGGAACTTTAAGTTCACGTACACAATCAGTGTCTAGTGCTGCAATAGCAGAACCCATTTTTAACTGTTGATTCTCAAGCTATTCCTCATGTTGCAATTGCATGGTTGTTTGGAGATGCTGGATGCGGTGAATGACAAATTTTGTTTGTGCTCACACAAAAGAGAGTAGAAGATTTCTAAATAAGATAGATTTCTATAAAAGAAAAGGAGTTGACCACAAATATTATGGCTTGAACCTGTAAAAAATGACTCATAATTGGAATTTGCACCACTTGCAACTCTCAACAAGAGTTATTGGAGGAGAAAAATTCATTAAGCTAGCAATAAAAAATTGGGATGACCCGAATGATGAAGACGGAGATGATGTTAGACTTTTGAAAAGTAAATTTTCAAGAAAATACAAAGGAATATTTGAGCATTGAGCATAATAACCCGATGCTTATTTTTCTATTTCAGTAAATGTGGATCTTAAAATTGGATTCATAGGGTATCTTATACTGAACCTGCATTGATTATCTAGTTAGAACGTTATTACTTCTAATTTATTAGATAGTTTGTTGGCACATGCTATGGAGATGCTGCTCTATTTATTTAATGCACACTTCTGAATTAAAATGTTAACCAAAGACTTCTCACCATCTAATGTATAATATCTTCCAATTTCCGTGAGAATTCAGCATATGATAGAAAAAGCTTCCTTACCCCTTCATCCTTGAGCAATTTTCTACTGGTGTCTTGCCCCAACAAAGCTTTTTCTTATGTTAATGTCTGATAGGTAGCTGGTAAAGGCTTCTCATTGTTATTGCCAAGGTCTTGGGATCAAATCCCACTTGCAACCTTTAAAAAAAGGTAAATTTAGAATGTTTTTTGAATGTATCATTTGAATCTGCTTTAGGGTCATGCAAATTCTTTTTTGGGTACTTTCCTCTCTTTATGCGATAACTAGAAGTAAATATGAAATCTTAAAGTTTTATTGATGAAATGAGTACCTACCAATTCTCAAATCATTATTTAGCGTCTCACTATCCTATTGCTTTTAACTTCCATAGGTATTCATATGGTGGCAAGCCGCTTTTGGTTAAAACTGATTTGGAGGAACCCAACCCCTGCAATCTCTGTGGATCACCACGGCAATATGAAATGCAATTGATGCCCTCTTTGTTGTATTTTCTTCATGAAGCAGCTGATGGTTCGTTAACTTGTATGCCAGATGAATGGAATTGGATGACCATGCTTGTGTACACCTGTTCTAGTGTAAGTAGCTCTTGTAGAACCGTTTGTGTTTTGAATCCATCTTTATCAAACTTTTGCAAATTTTTGTGCTTTCTTGTAGTAAATATTTTGTTCCATATAGCATGCCTAGTAGTATGTTAATAATTTATTGTTTTTGCAATGATTAATGACATTAACTTGTTTTTATCAATTGCCTAATCTCTGAACTCATGGTTAATCTTGAACTCGTTGAGATGAATTTTGAAAATGCTATATTTTGCAGATAAATTCATGTTAAGATATGCTTAATGATTAGTTTACTTCCAAACAAAATTATCTGCAAGTGTTAATGAAATCAATTAATCATTCTTTTCTTGCTCATTACAAGTCTTGAGTGGAAACATTGGTCTTGACCTTAGCAATTTTTTCCGACAATGATGATGTAGTGCAGCAGTGGCTATCCTGTATTAAAAATACTTTGAGATACATTTAAGTGTGGAAAATAGTTCAACATTAGATGTGAAAATAAGATTTGATTTTATAATATATTAGTAGGGACCCTTATTCAAGAGCTCAAGTGTTTGGATTGATAAGTGTTCATCCATTCTTATAATAGGCTCTACTTAACCAGCTTTTGTTCCACTCCCGTACAAGTTCTATGTGGGCGAAGTTAAGTTGAAATCGATTGTGTCATGCAGTTTGGGTCTCTAATGGGGTATGGGAGGCTTCTACCATGGTTAAGCAAGGCTCAGAAGTGGTTGTCTCTCACAAAGGATGCGCATGGTTGAATTGGTTCGCTTTCAGTCTTCAGAAAATTGGCCTCTCTTTGCTTTTTATACCCACATTTCTCACAATAATCAGAATCATAAAACTTAAAATTTTGGAAACTCATCATTTGAATGTAGAATTCTCATCTCTTTTTATTCAAATGTTCCATATTGCAATCCACGCAGATTAATTAATGTTCGTATTCATTGCTGCACCCGTTATCTTGTGTTGAAAGGCATATGGAGTGCAACGTTTTTGTTGCTACATGATATAGTTATATTACTCTTGGTTACCTTCCAATTGCTAGTTTCAAAGGTTAAGTTACATTCTTATTCATCAAGAAGTCCAATGGAGAAGGTTAGTAAGGGATCTAACTACAATATAAGGGATTGGGAAGAGATAATTTCAGAGAATCTATTCATATTACTATTTTCTGCTGCATAATATCTTTTGGCACTAATATGCTCGTCTTTGGGGCCACCATGTTTGCTTCTAGTACTGTTGGGCTTGCCTTTGATACCACTGTGCTTCTAACACCATTGCACTTGCCTCGAACATCACTGTGTTTACCTTTTGCTGCAGAAGTTCACGATGACCTTCGTTTTTTTCATCAATTGTCATCTTTTTTCTCTCTCTCTTCTCTTTTTTATTTTATTCCTCCTCTATAAATGCTATAAGACTCACAAAAATTGAAATAAAGTGTTCACCTTTTGCTGCAGAAGTTCACCACGACCTTCGTTTTTTTCATCAATTGTCACCTTTTTTTTCTCTCTCTTCTCTTTTTCCTTTTATTCCTCCTCTACTTATGCCCTCAACTTCTTTAGGTCGCTCTTATAAATGCTATAAGACTCACAAAAATTGAAATAAAAGATGAGAATAATCTATAATAGTTGAGAATAACAACATTATTTTAGCAGGCAGCACAGGAACAACAGTTCATTTGAGTGTAAACTTTGCAAACAATTCAAGCCTGTGCTTATCTTTGAATAAAAAAATGAATTATCGTAATATTTTATCTATCCATTTACAAGAAAAAAATGGGCTTAAAAAAATATCATCGTACTTGTATATTTCGCTTTATAAATAGTAAAGTTTGCTGCTTTTGGTGCACATTATGCTGGCTACCAATTGAAACATAGAAGTTTTCCAAAAGATGCTTATGTATTGGGATGTTGTGGCAGTTGTCATCGGCATTTAGATCAATGAATCCTAATAAAGGCCTAGAAAGCATGCATTGAGAAAGTATGAGGAATCAGTAAGAAGCTTTTGATGTTGTTTGATTAAACCAGCCATCTCAGCCTATATACATTTCGTAGCCAACATTGCGCTTCCTATGGTGGTGATTAAAATAGAGTTAAAGATGTATCTATTTCTTTCTCTCTCTCAATTTTTTTCTCACTAGTAGACATTTCTCCTTACCTTTCTTCCCTCCCTTGCTCTCTTTCTTTCTGTTCCCGTCTTGTTGCTTTCTCTTGGCGTACTTATATATATCTTTGAATGTTTGTTGTTTTCTCTTGGCGTACTTATATATATCTTTGAATGTTATTAGGTTCATTGTATAAGTTTGCTCTGATTTTCTTTACCTATGGAGTAGGAAGAATGTCTCTTTGGTAATTCATGATTTACAAAAAAATTAGCCTGTTGAGTAATGAGAAATTGTAGGAATATTGTTTTCTTATTTTACAGCCATCTTTGTTCGAGTGTATTTGCCTACTCATGGATGTAATATTTCTATTTTAGTAGTGAGTCGTATTAGAAATGCATTTTTTACCTAGTTAACTTAGTGTGAGTGGTTTTGAAGGTTCTAGTTGGTGATATTTTCTTGTTTAATTGCAGTTGAAAATTTGGTGGTATTTTGAGTTTTTATTGTAGGAAAATGCTAGATTGGAAAGTTATATCATAAAAAATACTAGAATAAAATATATGCTTTTAGTACTATTTTATATCCTAATAATTGAAGGCAGTATTATCTTCCTTTTGTTCGCTTGATGTATGCCTATCTATGAGTAACAATATTGAATTAATAAGACACTAGTTTTTTCCTTTAACTTGGGATTAGAGCCATATTAGTGCTAGCTCCCTTCCTACCCTCTTTTCCTCGATTAACCCCAGTTGTGCATACTTGCATGCCACACTTGCTTACGTGCTCCCTCCCTCATTGTCCTGAATGCGCTCGCTTCTTTCTATGCTCACTCACCTTGTTTGATCCACCCATTCACCTCATTCACATGCAGTCAAAATTGTACGCTTATAAGCTCACCTTAATTGCACTTACGGGTTTGCATTGATTTTGTTTGCTAATAGTCATTCGTGTGCTCCCATGCTCTAGCCTGCGTGCTCGTTGTGCCACCATGCTCTAGCTCATGTGCCGTTGCACTTAGCCCTTGCACTTGCTCCTGTGATTGTTCAAAATATTGCACTCTTCATTACTAGCCCAAACTCCAAAGGTTTGTCAACTACACGACTTAGAAATTTTAATGATAAAATTACTTCTTTGATTCTTTTTTCAATGAGTCAAAATCCTTCTTTGCCATCAGTGCCAATATCAAATTTGATATCATCAATTAACTTTTGAGTCTTAGCATTTTATTTCTCAAGCGGTACTTATGACAAACTCTATTATTTTGATGCCTCCCCTCTAGGACAGAAAAAATTTGACATAGGATACTGGGGGATTATATCCTTTGTAACCTCAATGTAACCTACCTGTACCTTCTATTAAGTTTCACGGTTCTGTTTTCATATATTTGTAAGTTACGGGTAGGTTAAAGGTAGGTTACGGGGAGGTTACAGAGGCTATAACTTAGATATAACCCCCCTTGCACCCTTTGTATAATCCTGACGTATGCAGAGCTGCGTACGTGTTACTTACGCAATTTTTTTGCCTCTAGGACACGTTGACATCTTGAAGTTTTCAAAATGACAAGTGTCCAAATATATTATGCTCACTTGGTTAATAATCTTGAAATTTCTGTTATCTTAGTTGCTATTTTTCATGACCCCACTAAAATAATTTGGGATTTTCCTTGGCCCGCATAATTTTAGGAAATATATCTCATGCCCATGCTCGTGCTTTCTATTTTGAAAACTTCTCTCTTTAACAGAGTAATGTATAGGCCGACTTCCTCAAGTACCGCCCATTCATTAATCAAACTACCTAGAATGAAGAATTTCTGGTCATAAAATTTATCTCAGGTCTACATTCTTCTCAGCAGAGCTATCATCCCAAATATTTCAAGTGCTCTCTCTAGTATTTTTCGCATCACATAAATCTCGACTCCTTGCCTTTTACTCTTGACCAAGCAGCCTTGTTTAGGGATGGCTGAGAATTGGGGACGTAGCGGCTTTATTAGTGGTAGATTTTCTTAATGATTTACCTTCTCCTATATTGAACATGAAGATTGATTTTCTTTCTTTGATTGAAGTTCTCTCAGCTTCTTAGGCTGAAAATTTGACAATTTTTGCAATGCAGAACTGCTGTCCCCATTCGTGCGCAGAAGAGCCGGGCAACTGTTGCTGGGCTGTGGCTGAAGAGGTAATCATAATCCAGGATGATTAGTTTTCTTAACATTGTAAGTTTCTTAACAGCTAAGTTGCAGTTTACTAAGAAATTAGTGGCAGCTTCTCTCCGTTTTATGGGTCTGTTTGGGGGCAATTGTAGCTTGTCCTGATTGCTTATCCTTATAAGCTACTGATCAACAGCTAATTCAAATAAGCTGGCTGGCTATTTGTTTGTGCATTTGGAAATCATTTGATTTGCAGCTGCTCCTGGATAAATGATCATTCTGCTCCTGATCTGGATAAACTGTCTAGTTGTTTGCTTTGTGAGTTTGAAAAACTGTTGATTTGCAGTTGTTTCTTGATAATGATCATTCTGTCACTGTGCAGTTGTGTTGTTTGCAACAAAATTGTTATGACTATATATTTGATAGTTTATAACCCAAAATACATTTCATAGCATACGGTGACTTCTTCAAGTGGGCAGACAGTCCGACTGATTCCACTACCGATAGTGATCGGGATCCGATGACATCCCTACAGGACAACATTGCTCATGACATGCTATATTAGTTGGGTTTTAAACTATCAAATGTATAACCATAATCATTCTGTTGCAAATAGCACGACTGCAAAATGACAAAATGGTCATTTATCTAGAAACAACTACAAATCAGCTGTTTTTCAAACGCATAAATCAAACAGTTAGACAACTTGTCCAGATCAGGGGCGTAATAATCAATTATCTAAAAACAACTGCAAATCTGTTGTTTTCCAAACGCACAAACCAAATCGCCAGCCAACTTATCCGGACTAGCTGCCGATCAGCAGCTTATCAGAGTAAGCTGCTTATCTTGATAAGCTGGATAAGCTGCAGCCACCCCAAACAGACCCTGAGTTTATAGAATGGCAGCCAAACCGACTTTGCTTGGCTTCTTATCACATGGTGTATTGAAGCTGGCTGGCTGAATAGTTGGGTTAATGCTACTATTGATGAGTATTGACATTGTTCAATAATTGCATCTTACTAATATTAGACATAGTGTGACAAGTTTTTTATTAGTGTTGTCCTCCAAAATTTTGTAATGAAAGGCTTCTACCAGGAAGAATGCATTTAGTTCATTAAAACATACTCACTTGTAATTAAACTAGCAACCATACAATTAGTTTTGAGTATTGTCGCTATGATAGACTTGCATATGGATGTTATAACTGCTTTTCTGCATAGCCATTTAAAGAAATTTATCTCTATGGTTTAGCCTCAAGGTTATGTTATATAAAGACAAAATATATAGTCCAACAGTTCAACAGAAGCCTATATGATTTGAGGTAAGCTCTACAGCAATGGTGTCCAAAGCTTAATATTCATGCATAACATTAACATTTATATGTTGATCATTGTCGCTATGTAAATGACGTAGAAAAAAAATTGTTTCATATTGTTGTTATATGTTGATTACATGTTAATTACGAGGGTTGATATTAAAATAATCGATAACTTTTGAAGGAATTTAACATGAATGACTTGAGAAATGTCAATAAGATTTTTTAAAATGAGAATTGATCGGGATAAAGCAACAAGTATTATGAAATTATCATGATTTTAACACATTGAAAAATTGTTGGAAAGGCTTAATTTGATGAGAAGAATGGATGATGATATTGTTGATATGATGTTAAATTTTGAGTGCTATGTAAATATATAAGCTTTGTGTGATATGTATGTATATTCCCCATTAATTTTTAATAGGCAATTAATGCTTTTATTAATAAAACATTTTTTTCACTTGAAAAAAAAGTGAAGCTTCAAGTGTTACATTTTTGAGTATGCCATCTGCATATGCCAAGCGATTCTTGAGTGGGCATTTACATCTTAGGGTAATTAGGGGTGTAAATGAGTCGCTCGAGCCGCCCTTAATTTAAGCTTGATTTTGATTAATTAGTTGAGCTTGAGCTTAATTCTTCTAGTTTGATCTGACTTGTTGGGCATGTGATAAAAAAAAAAAATTTAAACTAGCATTATAATGATAATAAATAAAATGAGTGTTTATAAGATAATTAATAAAAATAAATTAATATAAAATATAAAATATTATTTGTTTAATATTTTTAATAATTTAAAGAAAATTTTTTAAACTTTAATATATTTTAAGTATAATTTTTTAGTAATTATTATTTAGACGCGCGGACTCACGAGCTCGTGAGTTGGGTCTCGATTGGCTTGAGCTTGGCTTGCTAGCTCTTCGAGCTAAATTCAC